CATCGCAACGGTCCGCCACGACCACTGGATCCACTGACGGAGAGGGCTGCTTCCCACCAGCTTTTGCGGGAGCCGCGGAAGCTGAGGCTACCCATTTCCACCTGTTTCTCGAGCTTCTCGGCATCCATCCAACGTGGTCGGCGCCAGAATTTGAGGAGGAGACTGCTCACCACGACCGAGATGCTGGATGCTGCCATTGCTGCGCCGGCTGCCATGGGGGGTAGCATGTATCCACCGAAGGGGAGGAATAAGCCCATGGCGAAAGGCAGACCAATGACGTTGTACATGCAGGCCCATACGAGGTTTAACCGAATGCGGTTGAAGACTGCTCGAGAGAGTGACAGACTCGCGGGTACGGACAGTAGATCGTCGGGTCGCATCAGAACAATGTCGGCTGCCTCCATGGCGACGTCTGTACCAGAAGCAAGGGCGATACCGATAGATGCGGTGGCCAAGGCTGGGGAGTCGTTAATTCCATCTCCGACCATGGCCACTCGTTCACCTGATGCTTCCAGTGAGGAGATTATAGATTGCTTGTCAGAGGGAGAGACAGATGCGTGGACAGCTTCGGGCGAGATGCCAACAGCGTTCGCGATGGATATAGCGGTGGCGTGTGTATCACCTGTGATGAGCGATGTAGAGAGACCCATGCGATGCAAAGCTGCAACCGCTGCTACTGCGGTTACCTTGACAGTGTCCCGGAGCAAGAGTGTTCCCGTGTACTGGTTATCGATTGCCACATGGATTCGCGTAATACCAGCAGGAATCTTTGATGTTGTCGTATCAGAATCCGTGGCCTCGGCGGATTCAGGCACGGAGATGTCTCTGGACCTCAAAAACGTGGCATTTCCAATTAGGACGCGGTACCGGACACGCTCGGCACTGGATGCGGGCTCGACCAAGGCAGATATACCTTTTCCAACACAAGCGTCAAAATCACCTAAGCTTCCCGGCAGTCCACCGTCGTCGGAATGACCGGACTCTGTCTTAGCTGCGAGGAAGATTGCTTTGCCAATAGGATGTTCGCTGTTCATCTCTGCGAGGCCGACAATCAGCCACCAGAGTTTGCGACGCCATTCATTCGAAGTCCAGTGACGTTCAATCTTAGCCTCAGCCACGCTCATTTTCCCAGTAGTCAAGGTTCCGGTCTTGTCGAAAACCACATGAGTAATCTTTGTAGCGGCTTCAAGAATAGCACCACCTTTGACGAGGATTCCTTGCTGGGCGCCAACACCAGTGCCAACCATAACTGCCGTCGGGGTGCTAAGACCCAGAGCGCAGGGGCAGGCGAAGACAATAACCGAGATGCACAGTTTCAGACAGACCATGAGCTTACCGCCATTATCATCTGCTAGGAAAATCTTAGGCGGGTGCGGTAGCAGGTGGCTCATCACCATCCAACCAAAGAACGTGATCAGTCCAAGGCTAATAATCGCCGGGACGAAGTATCCTGCAACGATATCAGCCATGCGTTGAATAGGCGCGCGGCTTGTTTGCGCGTCCTGGACAAGCTTGACGATTTGACTCAGTTGCGTATCTTTGCCCGCCCGTGTTACCTTGAAGTCAACAGAGCTCGTGCCGTTCACCGTTCCAGCGATCACAGCGCTACCCTTGGCCTTGTGAATTGGCAGAGCTTCACCAGTAATCATGCTTTCGTCAACATAGCTTTCACCTCTAATAACGATGCCATCGGCAGAAACTTTATCTCCCGGGCGAAGCATGACAATGTCGCCGACCTCAATCAGTTCAGTTGGGATAACTTGGTGTCCTGGACCAGGCCTTTCATTATCAGACGTTGACTTCTGCTCGCCGTTATCGGTTCTAGAAGCTTCCCATTCTTCTGCCATCTTCTCCGCCGCAATTGGGTCATCGTAGATGGTTGTCATTGACGGGGCCAGCGACATAAGCCGAGAGAGCGCGGCGGAGGTTTGTCCCTTAGCCCTGTTCTCCAACCAGCGGCCAAGTGTTACGAACGTTATAAGCATCGTGCTCGTATCAAATACTGTGCTGGGTCGCTTATGAGGCGCGATGAGCAAGGCCATCACCATTGCAAAGACGCTGTAGAAAAACGCGGCGGATGTACCCATCACGACGAGCACATCCATGGTCGGCGAGCGATGTTTTAGAGACTTATAGCTGGAGATGTAAAATCGCTTCCCGACACCAAACTGCACTGGGATGGTGAGAAGCAGGCAAGCAAGATCTCCAAGGTAGAGGCCAGGAATCAACTGTACTTTGCCAAAGTCGAGAGAGCGAAGGTACATAGGCAGCAACATATTAATGATAAACACAGGGACGGCAAATGAGACAGAGAACAAAAAGGAGCGCTTCCACTCCTGGACCTCCTTTGTCTTGGACAAGGATTCCAGTTGTGCGTTGGTGTCATCCGTATCCGCGAGCAGGGCGTTGTATCCGGCAGCTTCGATCGCTGCCACAATTGAGCGAACCCCGATTACCGAACTATCATAGGACACCGTTATCCGCGACGTAGCGATATCCACCGATGCCGAGGATATACCTGCCTTTTGAAGAAGGGATTCCTCTAGCGCACCCGCCGAGGGTGCGTCCCGCAAGCCATGAAGGCTCAGCATGACTCGGCCGACGGCATTTGAGACAGGAGCTTGCGGTTCGGAAGATAGAATGGTCGCTTCAAAACCAGCGTCGTCAATCATGTTTACTATGCTCTTAGACGGTAAAGCCACGGGATCATGAGTGATGATAGCGCGCTCAGCGAGCAAGCTTATATTGAATTGGACCAGCCCCTCCACGCCATTGAAAACGTTTTCTATACTTGACGTGCATGCGCCGCATGTCATACCGTCTATAGAAACAGTAGTGACCATCAGTCGCGACGTAGTTTCAGTGGTCTCCTCCGAAGATCCGCTCTGAGGCGTAGTGGTGCCCAGCACCTTAGCGCCAAAGCCTCGGTCTTCAATGATTTCTGCAAGCTGATCGGGTGTAACCGTAGATGCATGGTGTTCTACAACTGCTCGCTCCGAGAGCAATGAAACATTGACCGATTTCACGCCAGCTACCTCCTTCAATCCCCCTTCGACCGCCGATGTGCAGGCACCGCATGTCATCCCTTCTATCGCCAAGGTGGTGGTTGAGACCATTGATTCTTTCTCTTTGACTGTAGTCGCACCACCCGATGGACCCGCTGGACTATCTGTAGAGATGACTGTCGCATCAAAGCCGCTATCCTCGATTATTTCGGCGACTTTGTCCGGCGATAGTACTTTTGGATCGTGGTGTACCACAGCCCTGCCCATCATCAAGCTCACCGACACTTCACCAACACCATCCACGTCTTTGAAAGCGCCCTCTACGGCGGACGTGCACGCGCCGCACGTCATTCCCTCCACGTTTACTGTGGTGGTTGCCATGTGCGCTGGCGATCGGGCGGCGGAAGCGCCATCAACCTGGGCGCCTAACATCGTGGCTTATCGGGGATGAAAAACCAGGCAAGGGAAGCCAGGTTCAGGCGTGTCAGTGCATAGGAGCAGCTCACCGGCCCTTTCAGTTGAAATAAGAAGGGTGCGATGTTAGCGCCCAAGAATAAAAGACGTCAACTAGCGGTTCGAGTGGAGGAGAATCGAAACGGATGTGATCGGAAGCACGGGCGGATCAATCATTCAATTTAATCCTCGCCGAACTGGATTTAATCTTCGCCGAACTCCAATGGGGACGAAATTATTCAGCCAAGGGGTTTTCTGTCTGGTTTTCAATGATTTGCATCAGCACGCAAAAGAAAGAGGAAATTGCTTTATTATAAATCGATGCCAAGTAATAGCTATTTGTCTAAGGAGTGGGGGGGAAAGAATGCAAAGTATATCGCAAGCTGAGGTCGAATGTAGCCACCGGTACACGTATTTTACCACCAGTACGGAGTAGATTAGATCGGGATCCGAGATAGATTGCCTTTCAGCCTTCAGGTCTTTTTCCTGCAATGTCTCCCAGTGCTTTGTCCAAAGGGGTTCTTTCTGGAAAGCTTGGACGGACCAGGAGTACAAAGCTCCTTCTTTGCATGTTTGCAGTGAAATCGACTGCCCTACATTCCAGCCTGTGAAGGGGGTTGGGGTTACTGAGTAGTCAGTTGTAGTACTAGTAACGAAGTCAAGGATTGACGTGCATTCCGCAACCTGTCCACAGTTGACGGTCCAGTGGATCATGGGAAATCGACTGGGTTCGCAGCCTTACCGTACCGTACGGGGAGAACACGTACTTTTCCTCGTCAGCAGCTTCCATGGTTTGGGTTCCGCAAATAGACCACAATCGGCAACCCAGAAATGAGTTCAGGGCCAACAAAAAGGAATCAGTTGGTAAAGAACTTAAAAGAAAGAAAGACACTTGCATCTGTCACAATAATCATCGTTGGTAGTTGAAACAAAAAATCTCCACGTCAAAAGAAAGGGCCCTGACCATGAAACAGTCAAGAGCCTCTAATGTTTCATTTTAGGCGCTATTAGCTGATATCTTCCATGCTGTTCCTTTCCGAAGTATATTAAGGGTGACAATTGCTCCTGAGATTCTGACAAAGAATGTTCTCAAAGATTTTAGTTAACTAGTTATTTTTTCCTGCAGTCTCCTTGCATCCATTTGGAGGACCATGCGCTCTTCCTGGCATATGGAGCACTAGAAGGTTTCCAAGTATGGGAACTCGGTATAACAACTGCTAATATTCGGATAAAACTTTCTCGCTGGTGGGAAAACTAGTCTATTTAATCTATCGGTTTATAACTATTATATTTGCCTCCAAAGAGTCAAGAGATGGTGGGGGGGAAAAATAATAAAAAAATAATAAAAAATAAAAAATAAAAAAAACACTAAAAAACAGGAACACTGGACCATACCGAGTGATAAGAGGATAAGAGTAAACTTCCCGATATAGCCTAGTTATCAACATGTGGGGATCAATGTCATTGTTTGCATCCCAAACAAACACTCCATTCGGGACATCAGTTGGATATCATCACCAGTGCTTTCAACAACATCTCCCATTCACATCGACGGACTGCATAGTACCTAAGCGGCAATAGAAGTGGTTTGCATAAATTAGGGACGACTCTCTGTTAAGGGAAAATTGCCAGGCAATACCGAACTCTAACAGATAGCTCGTTACCGACGCTCGCCAGCCCCAATGGATCAGACACACTCGCGGGCCATGGAGGCCCTCCAACCCTTCGTCCACCTGGCCAACTCGAATAGCGCTACATCGCCTAAATTTGTCGCCAACCTGATCACAAATGCCACTTCGAGTCCGAACACCTATGTATTCGCAGAGCTACTAGAGATGCCCACAGTCCAAGCCCTCCGGTCAAAGGACACCCCCGCGGAGTATCAAGGTTACCTTACACTATTGGAGATCTTTGCCTGGGGTACATGGCAGGATTATCAAAGTATGCCCCACTGAGACCGACCCTAGTCTCTTGGAGTTTAGAAAAATACCTGTGCATCCATGATTTGATTAACGCATTTCAAAAACAGCAACGCCGAATCTCCCTCCGCTGAACGATGAACAAACCCTAAAGCTCCGCCTTCTATCTCTTCTCAGCCTATCTGCAACCATCAAGCCGCTTACATACCAGACCCTCATGGATTCACTCTCAATAGCAGCCCCCTCCGAGCTCGAATCTCTCGTCACAACCGCCATCTACTCCTCTCTTATCACCGCCCGTCTCTCCCCGGCGACGAACCCTCCGACCATCAATGTGACTTCTGTCGCACCCTTACGGGACGTGAAGCCTCAATCACTGACAACGATGATCTCAATCCTCACACAGTGGGAGACCCGCTGCGGCGACGTTATCAGCGACATCGAGGCCGAAATCGCCAAGATCAAGACCGACTCGGCAAAACGGCGCGCGAAGGAGCAGGCTCGGTCGGTGTTAATTGAGCAGACGTTGTCAAACTGGGGCTCAGATGGGGGTGAGTCAAACCCCCGGTTTCCAGGATCCAAAAAGCAAGGTTGGCACGGAGGTGTAAAGGGTGGTTCCTCAGGGTTCGTTGGCAATAAGCGCGAGTTCAGCGGGGATGACTTTGATGATGGATACTGGGACAACGGTGCTGATGGAGCCTATGATTCACAATTTTCTACCTCGAAGATGGATATTGACCAGGGCGCAGGATCGTCCGTTACGGGATCAGCGGGTGCTGGAGCTAGACACGCGAAGCGTGTTTTGGGGAGGAAAACCTAATGTGATGTGATGAACTCAAGTGATTACCATCTCTTTCTCGGATTAAGAAACACTCTATGTCTTTTTGACTACTAGGTGGTTCAAGCAAGCACTACGTACGAATGAGATGTCAACGGCCTTTTTAGATCCTTTACTTGTTCCCCCCGATCTTGTAGAGATTCCACGTCAGAATATATTACTCCGATTATTTATGACACATTGTATAGCCTAACTATCATGCACTGAACACTAAACCAAAAGGCTCGCTGAAGGTCGTTTAACGGACAATTATAGCAGAAAAGGGGTATTCTCGGAATTTAAATGGAAAAGAAATAGAAAGCAAATTGGAAAAAAGGTAGTGGGGAAGAAGAGAAGCCGATATGGACAGAGCAAAGGTAGACGGACCACTGACCCGAGACTCAGCGCATTCAGATCCATGAACCTAGGGTACAATGCCAGCTGATCATAAGGTTTCGAGTTCATAAGTCCGTTGCTATGACGGGGGATAATATATGCATTTCTTTCGCATGTTTGACCACCCGGTTCAGTGCAACACGTCGCGGTTTCCAGAAGAGCTGGGTGGTCGGAGCCAAGACCACATCAGATCTTGTATGCCATACTTCGTAGCCATATGATTAGATCTGCCGGCTGTTGGCAGCCGGATTACAAGGTTCACATTAACCTTCCAATAGAGGCACCGAAGTGAGACCCAGAGACTTGGCCCAGAATTTGGCATCTAGTGAGCTTAGAGCATGGTACCAGGAACAAAAATGAACAGGACACTGAGCGCGGTGGCGACGAATGCAGCGATCAGTATGGTTGCCGTGGCGCGTTTGTTCAAGAGCTTTCGCACGTAAGGTTCACGGATCGGCGACCAGTTCATAAAGGTATATTCGCTGTATCCCAGAAATGCCATGACAGGATCGATCTTGTACTGATATGAGACAATAAAATAGGATGCGATGATAAAAGGAAGTATCAACTGCATAAATGTCAGTGTCGAAGCGCAGCGAAACCGGACAACCCACTACTACATACCCAACAACGGATGTGCCTTGGCTTGTCGCGGAGGACAACGTAGAAGGCACCCCAAAATCCGCCACCAAAGCTTACTAGCGCAAAGGCAAGACGGGCAACGGTACTCAGCGGGACAAGGTTACCCAGGGCCTTCGCCTGCAAAAACCCTGGGAATGCATCGCGCTCCATGGCCTGGAAAACATAGTCTTTCGCCGGATCGAATACTTCTGGGTCATCTCGGCCATCATCCTCAACCAAATTGATGATTGTAGATACCATCTCCTCCGGCAGTACGATTTCTCTTTCTGCACCCGGAAGCAGGTATGTATACAGAATCTTCTCTGCACTTGCACGAATATCGGCCCGTGCCACGGTATGGCCCGGCGACGTAGAATCGTTTCGCGTTCCAAAGCTTGGGCGAGGTGGCTGTTCATTAGATGGTGTACGGGCGGCATTCTGTGAACCAAGGCTGCCTTGGGGCGAGTGCCCTGGATTATGACTATCAGAACGCAGGAATGCCGATAATCTTTGATCGGCGTCCTGATCATCCAACTCATGATTTCCGTGGCGCAAACCAGAGGGTCCAGCTTCCACCAAAGGTATATCGCCGAAAGTCTCGAGGTTCCCTAAGGGATCAGAGGAACCTTTGCTATCCGCTTTCTCCAAGTCGGGCGTGGCTACTAGAACGGATCGGCGTAACTCTCGAACATAATGACGGCACAAAGACATATGTTGCGAAACATCGAGCCTAGAATTAGTATCGTTAGAGGCTTCTCGGGCAACGCAGTGATACGCCAAAGGGTGCATGTATCGTACCAGAAGTCCAGATAATCGACCGAGCGCTGCTGGTCTCGCATGTAAATGTAAAACGAAAAAAGATCGACAGGAGCTAGTGTACGACGGCTAAGGACTTCAAAGAGAGTCGGGAGCCGATTCCGCTGCTCTAAGTCCGTAAGCGAAGGCGACGCCATCTTTGAGAATGATAGCTATGTCGAAGAGCGAGATCGGTCTAAGAAAAGGGGAAAGAACGTCGCGGTCGGCTTGTGCGAGGGATTAGCCGTAAATAGACCCGAAGGGTTCGATTATGATTTCAATGACAGTAGATAGAGAAAGTAGAGGGCGAGTAAAGTAACGAATGACGAGGGAAATGATTTGAGTGCGAAGAATGGGCAAAATTCGTCATGAATAATCTAGAATTTTGGAGCCTGTCCGTCACAGAAACCCCTGGAGAGGGGGGGTTAGATGAGGGTAAACAAACAGCCACCGGATCGTAGCTGAAACCCCAAAATCAAGCACAATCCATTCAGAAGCCCAGCAAGGAGCGCAAGCTGCAGAATCCACAGTGAAGAGATAGAAATAGCAATAGAAGCATACCAGCCTTCGAGTAAAGCCTCCAAGAGACTTGTGATGGTTGGTTTCTTTCTGCACGGCTGGCAACCCGCTAAGCCCAAGCTAACGGCCCGCCTTAATGTTAATCCGAAATTAAATTAATTGGCTTGGACCCACGGCCCGATGATCGCACTCCACCACGTTCTCGACAGCTTTCGGCAAGGGATGCCATCATCCATGGATTCTCATCCATATCAAGGAGTGTCAACGGGTCTGTCACATTTCTCTGCCAAAGAAATAAGCATTTGAAAGGATCGGCAATAAAAATGTGACCATGTCGAATGTCGCCTAGACTGTTCAAGGAAGAAAGAAGAAAACGGTATATATTTAAAAAGAAAAAAACAGGGCGAACTATATAATGCCAAGAATTAGGACTCTGGCACGAATCTCATCCAGTTTATCACCTAAATATATATATTAAAAAGGAAACCGAAATGCTCCATGCATCAATTGGGTATTTGCTCATGACACCGTCTGTAAAAATGTGAACGCCAGCAGCCGAAACTCCTACCTCTCCAAGCTCATGCAATCATTCAATCGATTAGTGGCCATCCGCCAAGTGCTATAGGACAACGATTAGCAACGCAGGACAATCACCAAGCCAGAGCTACACTGGTATACTTACCGACCACTCGGGGATATTTCGAATCTGTTGCCACATAAATTTCTCCAGTTTATTCGCACTTTTTGCGTAAGGGGTGTTCTCGTTGTTGTATCTTCGACAATTGTCAAAGATTAACATGGCATCTTTGATGAAATCTTGTGGCGTCGGATACATGTCCTTCTCGTGTTTTTCTTCCATGGTCGACAGATCCATTGGCTCTTTGATCACTTCATAATAATCGGGAACCTCGTCGCGATTGACCGGTTGCGTAAATGGCCAGGCTGCACTATGGTTTTGCATATCATTCAGCAGATGTAACAGTTGGTTGTAATTCGGCCCGTGGCGTGGTTGACGCGCTAATTCATCCATGTCGGGTGACCATCCAGATTGCTTGATTGCCGGGATACTTAATGGATCGATTTTACACGATCCATTTTTCCATTCCTTTGGTGGGGCGTGTATAATGTGTGATCGGCTGAAGGCACGGATCTTTGCGTGTACTGCTTCTTTCTGCTTTAAAAGCATACGACCAATCTCAAGGTACCGTATCTTTGGAAGCATCGTACATTGCATAATGGTGCCTCCTTCATAATCCTTAATGTAACCCATCCAGATAGACTTGTCCAGTGTGATTTCCTTGGTGAAACCTTGCTTCTTAAAATATCCAATGGCGTAGTTATCTGCATATGTCAGAAAATGCATGATAGGCGACGTTGCCTTCACATAATCCTGTATAGCGCTTAGCATTCCGTGTGCATCGCAAGGAGTCGAGACCGGTTACCTTCAAGTGAGACATCAAATGCGCACCGTAACCCTTGACCTGCTGATCAGAGGATATGGCACAAAAGACAATCTCCGCAAATGTGCGACTGTTGAAAGGCCTGTATGTGATTCCTCTGCGCATCATTAGCAAGAGCGTGTGCGAGGCCCCCGAAAGATCATATGCACATACCCTACTACTTCCAACGGATGTTTGACAATAGCGATAGACAAATGCGATCTATCGTAGACCAACCGAGCAATGTAGTCTTTGGGCATCTTCGGGAGCTGCTTCTGGAAGATGCACTTCAGTCCAGTGAGGACGACAAAGCTGTCGCGCGAACCATCATTATTGACAACACGGAATTCGATCTCCCCTCGACGTTCTTCTAGTACGGCTGGCTATCAAAGGTCCATGATAAGCATTGTCCACGTAAGTGATCATAAAAGGCGGCCTACCTTCTCCGGGAAAGGAACGATCCTCAATGGCGGCTTTCCCAATGGTCCACCTTCAGACTTTAAGATACCGTCAGCACACTCCGCCGATACCATTCCTGTATCGATGAAACAGACCTTTGGTTCCCTCTCCGGGGAATCGGTACGCGCTTTCTTACTCTGTTGCTGTGAATCTGGGGAAAGGGCCTCCTCCGAAGCTTTCCGTTTGTTGTCTGGACCTTCGTTCAGTAAATAAACGCATCAAGGATCTCGAGCGATCGCAGTTCAATACTGTCCACTCACTTTCCGATGCCATTCTCGTCAGATGTACCAGTAATGAGGCTATAACGCTTGCTTGTCAGCTCCTCAGTCCCAAGCGGCGCGATCTCCACGTTTGGCCGATATGGGGGTCGGTGTCGGGAATACAATGATCCGGCGCCATTATGCCAGATAACTATCTACCTGGTCGAAGGGAGCTTCAAGAAGCTTCAGTAGTCCAATTCATTCGTTTCATGCTTTATTTGCTCTAGTCACTATCTACCGGGCTTTATTAAAATTAATCTATCCCCATGTCGTTGAACGAAGTTTGGGAGGCAGCCTCCGCGAGCCCTTACACTCCACTGATTTCCAAAGATAGCCAGTTCTCCGTCGGCTTCACCCTCTTGCTTTCTGGTAAGACAAGTTTGCGCTACTTGGCCATTAATCGATCGTACTGACGCATATATCAGCACTGATATTGACTGGCCTTTTCGGACTGAGTTTGTGTCCCTATTCAACATATCTTCGTCCATATCTAACGTTTAAACAGACCGTTCTTTCTTGAGTATCGCTTCATTTGGCGTTCCGGCGTCATTGGCATTCGGGTAAGAAGAGCGCCTTGCGCAAAGGGACCGACAATGGCTAATACCACCATCCAGCTTCGGGGCCGTATACATGATCTGCGCTGTTGGGGTCTACGTTTAGGAAGACTTCCAGATCTTTTCAATGTACCATATACCCAGTTGAAAGAGAAGCAGAAGGATTATACCATTAGAAACGTCGAAGCTCTTCCTCCCTGCAGACTCTCTCTAAATCTAATTTTTCCGAGTTCTTTGCTTTCGATCTTTTCCGCTATCTCGTACATCCAGCATGGCCGACGTGGAACCCATCTTCTCTGCTGTTTCCAGCAATGCTCATCATCTCTATACTCTGCTACAGTGCATTAGCTTTGTACCAAAAGCTACCGTGCTTATTACCCCAGACGGGATTCGCTTCTCTGTGGAGGAAGGCCGAGTAATACAGGCACTCGCGTTCCTCGACAAAGCTCTTTTCACCACCTACACCTTCAACCCACCAGCCGCGCCGAACAACACGTCTAGGGATTCGGGAGACGATAATGATTCTCCAGACCCTACTTGCAATCCATGCTTCGTTGTGTCGCTTTCTGCCCTCCTTGAGACACTGAAAATTTTTGGTGTAAATGATCCATCTGCCACTGGGGCCACCAAAGCAGTTAGTGTCCAACCGTCGAATCCCTCGTCCTCGAACGCCTTCACCACGCCTGCATTGCTATTTGATCGTTCATGTACCTTGCAGTATTTCCAGAACGGCTCCCCTTTGAGCATCACTTTATCAGAGACAGGGATCAAGACCACGTGTGAATTAACAACCTACGAACCCGACGGCGGCGAAGTCGATATCCCTCTTCAACGTGATGCCATCATAATGAAAGTCATCATGCGTTCTGCCTGGCTACATAATGCCGTTGTGGAGCTAGGTGCCACTAACCCCAATGTGTTAAAGATATCCGCCTCGGCGGATCAGGAACCTTTCTTCGCCTTGTCCGGTTCTGGTGGCCCGTTCAGCGAGTCCTCTGTAGAATTCTCAATAGAGGAACAAGGCCCGAACAACGGGGCGTCGTCCCAGTCTCGCAAGGTGCTGACAGATGATGGCACGTCCAGGTCTCGGGCTAAGAGGGCCAAGCTTGCGCCGACTGTCACCGAGACCTTCCTCGTCAGCCCACCGTCTTCAATGGGTTCTCGCATCAAGCAAAATTACCGATTCTCTCTTGTACAGAAGGCATCTCGTGCTATGGCTGTGGCTAACAAAGTAAGCATTCGAGGCGACCGGCAAGGAGTCTTAAGCCTTCAGTTCATGATTGAAATCGACACACACGGCTCCAGCGGCGCGAGTAATGGCACCAGACCGTCTGGGGGAGCGCTAGGGCCTACAGTGACCTTTGTAGATTTCCGCTTTGTGCCGTTACTGGATGATGTGGCAGTTGATGACGACAGCATGGGTGAGCTCGAATAACATCGGTCTGCGGAGCACCAGCTCTAAATCAGAGTACAAGTTAGCAATTATAGCTTGGGTTTAATCAATACAAGTTTTTCTCTCACAGCAATGCACTACGCAATGGATGTCCCATATGAAATCTCCCACAGGTTACCACTAATGAGTCTACCGCTCGTGCCATGCTTGCCTTTGGATAGCCAAAACTATATTACTAACATTGGGAGAAGAATTCTTCAATTGTATTCTCTATTCTGCCTTTCCACTGCTGCCCATTATGTCCATCCACCGCTCCATCGACTGTATAAGAATCTCAATTCCTTCATCAATCACCTGCGTTATCGGCTTGTTGATATTAGCCCTAATATAGTCATACCACGGGTCCAAAACAAGTTTGTTGACGTTGAACTTGGTGACACCTGCTTGAATGCACGCTCTCGACAGCTCCGGGGAAAAGTCGTTAGTTCCATGTAACACCAATCGGGCACGCCCATCCAGTGCTTTGAAAATTCCGCGAAGCCTAACATATTTGTGAAATTTAGCGACGTTCGGCGTGCAGTTCATGGCAATTCTTACCGGTCCATATCTGGTTGAGGTCCTTTGGGACCATAATCACCGTGGAGGTTGCCAACGCTCGGAGCCAGATAGTCAACCCCCGCACGTATGAAGTCTTCTACATCTTCAGGACTAGTTAAGATTCCTGTACAAAGCAGTGTTAGATCAGAAACCCTGAGTTCTGCATTGAACTCCATACCTTCCAGGTCACCTGTATCCATAATTCCATCTTCGCCACCTTCGATTCGCCCCGTCTCGGCCTCTGTCGATATCCCTCTAGCGTGACAATATTCACGCAAAGCTGCGGTTCTTTCCAAGTTTTCCTCCTTCTCATAATGGCTCATATCCACCATTATCGAGTCAAACGGTAGACTGTCCGCTATCTCTTTGATTTGATCATAGTTTTGTGCGTGGTCAAGATGAAGTGAGATAGGAACGGAGGCTGCTCTCGCTGCGGCTGCAGCTGCATGAACAAGCGACGGTGTTTGGGTCAGCGCCGAAGGGAATAATTGTATGATTAACGGCGACTTGCGGTTCTCAGCTGCTCGGACGAATGCAGTGATATGTTCGACGTTATAGCTAATATCTTTCATTACCCTGTATTCTTCCGGGTCGCGAGCACTCTCACTTACGCGATTGCTGCCAGAACGCCATATTGGCCTTTTTCCGCTGCATCCAGGATTTGCAGGGTCTTAGTTGCTGCACGCCGAGTCATTGTAAAGCGGGGTTATAGATGATCACTGAATTGTTCTTGTGTGTCAAAGCAACACTATCAACATGGGGTTTTCTCATGTTCTTTAATTGAGCTCGAGCTCATGATGAAAGATGCTCGTCTCGAGGCAGGCTCGTACTTATGACTAATGCGGTATCTCCAAGCGCCGGCCGGGGGCAAGAGGGGCTTACAGCTCGGCGTGGTTCGGAAATTGAAACGGACAAAGATTCTCTAACTATGGTTAGGGTCACACTCATATTATTGCCAATTTAATCAAGGGCCTTTATTTCCACGTATCTTGCCCGTCACCGTGGTTAACCAAAATTGCCAAGAAATCCGGGCCAGAGCCAACTTGTTCCCTGCTTCCGCGTGGCTCCCCGCAGTCTCGGCCCGTGCTCCAACCCCGACACGACCTTCCAGCAAAGTCGAACATACTTGCATTAGTTGATATCGGCTGTCACATACTTTTCTGTTGAGCCTTTCTCCACCATGCCGAACAATGGCCCGCAGAGTGGCATCCGAAAACCACGCAAATCTCGCGGTCGAGGCTTGCGGACTAACACGGGCTGGTCAGTATCACAGAATTTTTTCTTTTTTCTTTCTGTGTCTGTTGTTTTGCGAAGAGTGCTGATCGTCCGTAGCTTAATCTGCAAGCGTCGCCACGTCAAATGTGACGAAGTAAGTTGATCAGTCCACTTGAAATCCTCTGCGCAAGTGAAAAAGATCGCTTATCGTCAAAGATCCGCCCACAATGTGGACCATGCGCAAAAGGTCAACGGCCCTGCATCTATGGAGATGCCAATATTACTCCCTCTCACGCGTCTATAAGCACACCCCCAAGTCAGGATATCCCCACGGTGAGAAGTTCCCAAGCACCAATTCATGAACCCCTGCAAGTGCTAGTGGATGCATGCCACCAAGAACACCCAATACAACCAAGCAATTATAATCAAACATTAGCCCCCAATAGAGCCAATCACCGGCCGATTTCGTCCAGATCAGTGTCGTCTCCGCTTCGTGAATATGTCCCTTCACCTGGGACGGAGTCATCGGCGACCTCATCGTGGGTGGCGCCCCTGAGCTGGTTTGAGCTTCTGGCTCAGGATGCGGCAAATGCAGACAGGGAGTTTTTGCTATCCCCTCAGCAAAGATTCCCATTGCCGACAGCAGAAGAAGCTTCCATAAGCTCAGCTCAAAGTCCGGCCTTTGAGCCACGAAATCTGAGAGAACGGGAAAGCTTTCAGGCGGCATCATTTCAGCATGACCCAGAATTAGGAAAGAAAGTTCCGCTGGCAGCGGTTGATGAGCCGTCACAGGCTCTTCCGGATGTGCCATCTTCGTGGAGCACATCGGGTCCCATTCAGCTATCGGAACAGGAGTTCCGGCTATTTACTCACTTTGTGCAGACATTCAGCGGCTGGTTGGACTTTTTTGATTCATCCCAGCAGTTCTGTTCTGTCGTTCCTCATCTAGCTCTGAGAAACATCGGTCTGATGAAGGCGTTATTAGCGTTATCGGCGAGACATTTCACGCTTATCATGGAAACCCCTGGGGATTGTCGCGATTCTGAGCCTTCGTATTCCGTTGATCGGAACCTCGCCGTTCGCTATTACTATGAAACACTGCATTACCTGAACAAGGCTATGCGCTATCAATCATATGCTGGAAGCCAAGAACTAATTGCCACGGCGCTCTTGATTAGTACCTATGAGATGATTGATGGCTCCAACCGAGACTGGGAACGACATCTCAAGGGGGTATTCTGGATACAGCGATATCAAAACAATGATGGCGAATGCGGGGGCCTCCGTCAAGCTGTGTGGTGGGCCTGGCTTAGACAGGATGTCTGGGTAGCCATGCGCGAGCGGCGCCGAGTCTTCAGTTTTTGGAGGCCCAAAAAGCATGTTTCAGTCCTCACCATCCCAGAACTAACGACCCGTGCAACCTACCTGCTCGCACAGTGTGTCAACTACGCTTCACGGGAGGAGTCGGAATCGACTGACTTGGAGCAACGCTTGGAACGAGGGAGCGAGTTACTCTATATGTTACAAGAATGGCAAGACTGTCTTCCGCGGGAATTCACACCACTCCCAGTTCCTTCAAGCACCGATGTCTTTCCCCCAATCTGGGTCAATCCCCCGTCTTGTGCAGCTGCTTTGCAGCTTCATAGCCTAGCCAGGATCATGGTCATTCTACACCGGCCCTCCATTGGCGGACTGCAAGACTATCGAGCTGCGCAGAAACTTCTTACATCTTCTCTCCGCACTATTTGTGGAATTGCTCGCATGAATGACGAAAATGATGACATGGCTTTTTGTATCTCACTTCAGTGTTTATATGGAGGTAAATTTCCCCGCGAAATGGCTTGCTATGTGTTTATCTCTAACCTGGTTTCAGCGGGACTCGGTGTTCATACTCCCCATGAACGAGCCGCATTGCTTGATCTCCTAGATAAATGTCAACGACGAATTCGCTGGCCTGCAGACTCCTTAACAAGAGAGCTTGAGGCTGAATATCAGAAAGATGAGCTCTCTGCGTTTGCTAGATGAGTTTGCTTTTTGGCGTACATGCTATTAATCCAACTTCTGAATGGTATGACCAGATCTCGACCATTAATCAGGGAAGTGCAAGGGAATTCTGCAGCAGTCACCAGAACTTTCAAAGAGTCTCCCCATTTGCGTTTTCCATGAACTCCAGTTGGCGGCCAGGAGGCGCCACACTCTTTTGTGCTCTCAAGCACATTCCCTTCCAACTAATGTAATAAGGCCGCAGCACAGTACAGTTCTGGATCACATGTGGTGTATTACCTATTACTATGGTATACATTCATCAGGGACTCATCATATCTATATATACACTTGTTCGTTACTCGTATCAAGAGACCGCTACCATTGTCGCCGGTAGTGTTTAACACGCGCCAGTTGATCAACCTTGTGTTCGTATCTTAAGATACAATCATGCGCAACCTCTGCAATCAATATCCAAATTCTACTGCCTCGCAATCGATTTGGCTTTGCGACGAATCCAAACGTGCAGGATCAGGAAGACAATCACTCCGACTGCCAACATCGCTGAGATCACAGCGAAACCCATAATATATTTCGGGCCATCCGAGTCTGGAAACAGATACTGATATAGTGTTAGCATAGCTTATCATGTGGATTGGTGGGCGATGAATACATACGGAACCATAGATCTGGGCTAGGTTCCCTAGCGCGTTCACCAGCGCTAGGCTGACACCTCTAACCTGTGGCTGCATGTCCGCGAAGGCCGAGGAGGCATAGGCAAGTGTACCTCCATTGGTTGCCCACAACCCGGCTGCCATGAGGACAAGGAGAGCATATCGAGCACTATAGTTGTATACCGCACAGACAGCGATCGAGCATGCGAGGGAGAATGCCAGCCAGGCAGCAATGACAACACCACGCCACAAAGGAATCTTATCACTGAAATATGCCGTGAGACCAGTGCAGACAAATGCCACTGCATAGATGGGGATTGTAAGGAAATTGATTCTCGTGGTAGATGCGTCGCCGAAAAGACCTTTGACCAGAGTCGGGTAGAAGTAAGAAAGCGTGCTGGCACCAACAATGACCTGAAGATCTGTCAGTATGGTGCGGGATAGGCGAGAGGGTATATCCAATTACCATGTATCCAATAACAAACATCCATGTCCGCCAGTCCTTCACTGATCCCAGGATAGCCTGCCATGAACTCAATCGTTCGCCATCCTCCGTCATAGCTGTGACGTTATCTGATTCCAATCTTGCAATGGCGACGTGTCGCTCTCTTTCTGATAGACGCTTGGTTGTGGCGGGAAAATCAGGCAGTATAAAAAGACTTATTAATGCGAACCCTACAGTAACAGCTCCCTCAACAATAAACAGCCATCGCCATCCTCTAATGCCGTGCGCGCCTTCTAGGCCACCGACAATACCGGCAGCTATTAATCCACCAAACGCACCGGACAACACAGCGGCAGAGATATAGACACCAAATCGCTTCGATTGTTCGGTCTTCTTGTACCAGGATGAGATGACAAGAAGGATGCCTGGTGCAAAACCGGACTCAACGCAACCTGTTGCGGTGAGTATATGTCAAGACGCTCCATTGAATAGTCATGATATCCATACCTATCAGTGCCCGCAACACAACGAGGTGTTTGAAATCTTTCACGACACCCATGACACATGTCAACGTCCCCCACACCACCATAATTCCGGGAAGGAACAAAGAGGGCCGTGTTCGACTGAGTATGAGGCTACGGAGATGATAGTGGATTAGCATAAGGATCATCTGAGATAATGTATGGCTGCTTACTTGCTAGGAACCTCGAGGACAACGTATCCAATGAAAAAGACGACCAGACAAATCGAATATTGGTCTGATGTCAGGTTCAGGTCTTCCTCCATCCCTGAGATTTTTGCATTTCCGATGCTATGTGCAAATGGGTATTAGTGCAAGATCTTTTACCCTTGAGGTCTGAGGAGGGTTACCACGCCAACATACTTTGTTCGGTCCATGTACGATAGGAGGTACATGATCCACATGGTAGGCAGGAGCATCAGGTCAACTTTTCGCACGAGGGCGGCCTCTTCCTCGGGTGAGCATGGTGGCACAGTCTCCTCGCCAACATTCTCGATTTCCATCGAGGAAAGGTCTTCCTTGCCTTCCACTTCCAGATGGCCTGCCATTGAGAAGGTGTATCGCACGGACTACCCTGAGCGTGAAGAAATCGGAGAAATGATGAACAGAAGGCAACACAACCAATGAATTTTTCTGGCTTTCTATGCCCCTGGAATTGGACTAGGCAGTCAGCGAAATTCATCAACGGATATTTATACCTCCCTCCAGTTTTAGACGTCGCATAACCAGGCCAACCCAGCGGTAGCACAGTGCCGCTGTCAAGCCAGCCCATGGGAATACGACATGTTTCCCCACGATAGTCTGTGCCCTCGGGAACAATCAAACCGTGATGCCTCTAAGAGTCTAAAGCGAGACCTGAATCCACCTCCGCAAAATCGGTACGGCTTCCCCGCAAACTTTGTTCATGATTGAAACCTGAAAAGGGTTTGGTGGTTCTATCCGATGCGATCTGCCTCGCGTCGAGGCAGATGGGACCCACCTCGGGAATGCCCCAGGATATGCTCATATCCGCCCGTTTTGATAGACGGCAGGCGGCAAAAGCTCCTGTATTCACGGCCATTTTTTCCCATGACGTCAAACAAGTTAGCCTTGATGAATTCAATGCGATCATGGAATACTCCACGACCCGAGATGCCTCGAGCCGAGTCAAGAGCGATGATGCAGTGCTCATCCCACACTCGGCGCATGGCCGAGAGATCTGACGTCGCTAGGAATCATCGGCAGTTCACATCCCCTCCCTATTTTCATTTAAGTAATGAAGGAATTGGCATTTCTATCTGTTCCCTCATTCACAGATTTGTTCGTTCTCCCTAAAGCCGATCTTTCCTCGCTCTCATTTCCTCCCAGGTCATCATTACCAATACCATCATGCCCCCTGCCGCGACCGAGAATGTTCCAGCT